AATCCTCCTTTTCTTGTTTGTGAATAACAAAGCACACGATGAGCCAAAGCCTGTAGCGTATGCAAATGTCGAGCGACAACTGATGTTTATATTGGTTGCTCATACTACGATGGATATGGATATGGATACACACTTTCACCATTTTTGCTTCGAGTTTGACAGATTGTGGTAAAGGCAGCATCATCCCTCTTTTATTCCGTGCTGAAAGTCTAAAGTCTAGAAAAGTCTTCGATTCGATATACCGCACAACATATTGATCTATAGAAAATTTTCATCGTTATTTCAGCAATAGACGTTTTTTTCAACACAAACGCGACGCATAAACACAGCCAAAACCACTTTAGCACATTTTTTTTTCTGACAATGTAAAATTATGCCATTATGTCTAACTTCTCAGTTGCGTCTACGATGAAAAGATTTCCGATTCCAAAGAAATTCGATCAATTTCAACAGCGATACACAAATAAACAACAACAAAATACGCATGCAATCAAAGTAACTTTTTCGCGTCGCATGAATAAGTAATATTTCGATTTTGCCTTATTACGCTGAAACTAACGCGCCATTTGTTATGCTGATTTGTATGATTTTCATTCCTTAGCCATACATTTTGTCCAGGATTTATTGCAATACGTTTTGAACAAGTGAGATTCAACAAGCGTGTTCTCGCCAATTTTCGAAAAACTGTTCGTGCCGAAACAAACGTGCTGACACGTGAATTTCGAGACAAACAGACGATTAAAAGCAATGCGTTCGTTGAACTTTGACAAAGTCTCACACATGTTTTACGAGCAATTCTTTATGTTTGTAACAAGACACTCCTTCGTCTGTGATACGCGCACACACACACACACACACACCGACACAAATTGTGTGTACTATTGTGAGCACGAAATTCCAATGCGTATCATGTTGCCATTACAATTTCAACATTTTGGATGTGTAAGAAGACATTTTGATATTCCAATCGTATGGAGTTAATAGGTTTTAGACCAAAAGCACTTGTGCACGTGGACATAGAAATGGCAAGAAAATAAATCTATGACAAAAGGTTTTAAGGAAGAGGATACAAGAGAGTTGGAAACTTTTGAATTGTGACAAATCAGGAAATACGAAATGTAAATGTCCTGATTCCGCCTGAGGATGTTTGCTAATGACCTCGATATGGCCCCCGATTACACATTTCCTCGACGTTTGTCAGGCTCAACGTACCAAAAATTAATTGGAGATGATATCTTTTCCAATATTTCCAGTAAATAACAGACAATACACACAATCGTACGAAAGTAAAATTAAATGGAGTCAAATTTAATGTCCTTTCTGCTGACAATAACAAATAATGCCCATAAATTGAGCAAATGCAATGAGAAAACATTCTTTGTCCATGAGAAATATAATTTCCTCCTTGAGCCTTCGAGCAATGGCTGTGTGCAGTGAAGCTTGAATCAATTGATCCAATTTGGATTCAACGAAATAGGATTCTGTTACCGTGAATCGACGCACCATCAAATGCTTACGTCATGTTCATTTTGCTATTGCACAAACCGAATAGAGAAACAACGAAAGAGCGACGTGGCAACAAAACAAACTTTTCTTCGACTCAATGGCGGTCAAGTTGATACATGCGTAGCACGTTCAAAGCCATTTCCCTGCTGGCTAGAGAAAAGGCGAGCGATGCATTGTCTTGAAAACTTGTTGCTAATTCCAATCATTTGTTTTTAATCCTAATAAATAACATGGTCATTTCCTATGCAAATCAAGCCTCAATATACTTACTTTCTCTCATCGATGAACCAGTCAACGAAAATCATGTTAACCAAAATCCTTGACAAAAGTCTCCTCATCGCGTATTCGTGGTTTTCTTTCTGATGTGCCAAGACACGTTTAAATCGTACATTTTTGTCAGAAATGTAAATGGCACCAAACTTTCCATTCGAATATTCACTGAACGACAACCAAACGAACAAAAACGTCTCGAGTTTTATTATAAGACTTCTTTTGCATTTCTTGAGATTTGAAAACTAACGTTCTGCGAGTGAGACCGAGAAAAACATGTCAGTATAAGATGCTTGTATATGATTTTACATGAAAAAAAAAGTTCATAGCGACACGTTTTACTTTTCAAGGTCAGAAAAAAAAATTCTACTTTCACGTTGCGTCATTATGATTCAAACTGTCCACAAAAACTTTTCTCGCTTCTTTCGTTGAATTCCCCGTATATATCTAACTCGGTTCATGGTATATCAATTGTTTTTTATTTTGTCACGGTTCGAATACAATGTTTGTTTTATTGTTGGTCTTCCACTTCGTATGCGTATTCGTCATTCGTTGTGAATAATACGAAAGTATTTCGGACACATTTTACTGTGCGCTTCAGGGTAAAAACTACCGAAAGCAATATTTGAACATTGGCAAAAGTGTTGTGCTCCGAAGTTTGCGTTGTCAGTGTCAGTGTTGTGCTCATGAGAGCATCTTGACATAACGAATTGATGAAGACAAAAAAAAAACTCTGACAGTATGTCCAAAATAATACTCTTTATTTCGAAGCAAAGCAGAAGAAAACAGCCGAAAGTCGCACCCATGAGCGGAACAAATCTCATTTTCTTTCATTGTTTTAAGGTTTTTTTTTCTTCTTGTAGGAGTTCCCAGAGATTTTCCATAATTAATAATAAGAAAAAAAGTCGCTTGATTTTCATTCTGAGCGAGCGAGACGCAGCAACGTTAAGCAGCTTTTCTCCAGAAACTTCGTTTCAATTTGTGATGAAAAGATGTCTAAAAAAAATATTTTCCACTGATTTCTTGTAAAACAACTGCTCGTATTTTTAATTATTTAAGCAGCCTGGATGTCTTGTGCTTGCTGAAGGTGAAACTCGGAACGCACAACAAATTTCATGCAAAAAAGAAAACGAGAGAAATCATAATTGAAATTGGGCAAAAAATCAAGGGGCAATCCACTCAAAAGTAATACATAATACCTGCGAAGTAATACGAAGTAATACTAGGTAAAAGTGGTGTTACTTTTGATAAAGTAATACTCCTTTTAAAAATAATACCATGGTTTGAAAAAAGTATTACTAAAGTAATACAAGGTAATATTTACATTAGTATTACTTAAAGTAATACTAATACACAGTATTACTTTTGAGTGGTTTGCCCCTCGCAAAAAATGCATGTTGTCAAGGAAATCGCATTCCTAAAACAACACAAAACAATGAATAATTTTTTAATTGTCACATCATTTTCTCTTGGGTGTGCGCTTATTGTATATTTTTGTTCGATTTTATTCAACAAGAGAAGAAAAGAAGCGTTCTTTCAATTTTTCCCTTTTTCATACATGACTGGATGCCGTTCATTGTTTCAAAGCTATTTTATTGCTTTGCAACTTCCAACGTCTATCTTGAACTCGATCAATATTTTTCTTGGGATTGTTGATGTTTACTAGTGACTCAGAATGATGGGGAATATGATGAAGAATTTGTAAGCTGTTTGAATACGAGCTTGAAATATGACGAAGAACTCAGTACATCGGACGGGATGGATTTGTGCATTGTACGTAAACATGCGAAATTTTCGGTGAATTTATTCTAGTGAATGATTTTAGCAACACGCTGGTAATGATGTAATTCTATATTTGCCGCTGTCATTTATACGTCCGTTAAATACTAATTGAATATTTGTGTTTTCCTCTCAATTTCCGACAGTGTGTTACCACATCAAGTGAATTCCTTATTTATAGAAACATTTTTTCACAATAAACGTTGTTTCTTACACATTCCAAACACAATAAACGATCTGCAAATTTTACTAATGAAACACAACCAATGAATTTTAATTTATGCTAAAAAAACCATCTCATAATAATATCTAACTCATTTTGGCTTTGTTTGACTTGCCTGCAAATGTGTTTGAAAACAAAGATGAAAGCATTGTGACCATTTTACGATATGGTTTTGAAGAAATAACCGCATTCTTCTTTAACTTTTCGCTGCTAAAATATTCTATGTACGAGAACGCTTTTTGTAGCCCAAACAATAACAGACATAGAAGTTAACACGCATAAGAGCATAATGAATTTCCTCGAACCATTCACTCAGCAGCTAACTCGATTCCATGAAATGGAAATGGAAATATTAACACAAACCACAGCTCAATAAAGAACATATTTACTTTGATGTACAGAAGTTCTATGGAAATCCACAATTCTCTTCAAAATGTGGATTCACAATTTAAATCGAAGAAATGTGGCTTGCATATGTGGCACGTGCCGGGAAAATTCCAATTATATCCCTTTTTGCTCATTTCATTGTAAAGGATTTCAATTACTTTATGGTTGATTTGCATGTCACTGATGCTCGCAGCTAGAGACATTGCCGACGCTTGCGTAATATCAATTAGCTTAATTTGTTTTATGAACATTTATCAAAAGATTCTTCTGAATTTTGTAATTTGATAGCGTAGGAAGATTAAGCACTGACCTACATGGTGTCAACGTAGAAATGAAGTGAAATGTTCTTGAAAGGTGGACAATTTTGACATATCCATTTTGCAGTCTTCGATGCTTGAATCATTTTATGCTAACTTGATAGCAACATCGAATTCAAACACACACACAAATTGTTTTATTTTTTTCAATATTCCGCTCGATGAAAATTCCATTTTTCAAACGTCATTTTCTCGTTCAATACTTAATTTGAAACTCCCACTGAATTTTCAGAGAACGTTCATTCAATAATAAATGCATTTCGTCGAAATTCATCTGTTGATCGTTGTGAAAAAAAATACTTCTCGAACTCTCTTTGTTCATTAATAAAAGCAAGCTATTTAATGACATTATCCGGCAGAGAAATTGAAACTAACGGAAATGATGGAAAAATCAAATTCATTGAAAAATGAAAAAAGGTTGCAGATTCATTGAATAAATACCATCATTATAAAAAAACGCCATTTACGGATCAATGAGTAAAATTTCTGAATATTTATGAGAATGAAACTAAAACAAATATTTTTTCACCTCTTTTTTAATTGACAATAAAACTCACAACATTATTAAATTAGAAAAACAGCTCTAAATTGTCGAAGATAACCTAGTTTAGCTAGTTGACGCAAGTATATTTATTGCAAGAAAAACTCTTGGTATGGCATATTTTCGAAAATTGGTGATATAAGAGCTTTGATGACATCGGCGATGCTTTTCTCCAGATCCTGTTTGAGCTCAGCATAAATCTCTCGCCAATTTTCATTAATCGCTTTATTAATGGTGTCATTGATGGCTGGATTTCCCGTTTTGCTTTTGAAGTCTACCGAAAATTTGTTGAGTTTTATATGAACACGAACATTTTTGATTTTTATGTAATCTTTTCCGTTCTTTTGAATGACATCAACATCGATGTTCTGACGAATTTCCATATTTGCTTTCGATGAAAATAACAAACAAACACAAATGTAATGGTTAAAATTGGTGTCGAAAAATTCCACGAAAAAAAAAAATTCCGAAAAATAAACAACTATGTACTTATGGTTGTATTGCTAATGCCTTCGGTCGTAATTGGCAATGCAAATAGATTCATCGTTGACTTGTAATTTGAAACCGATACCAAGAACGGTACAGTCGATTTAATTTCAAACTTCGTTTTTCTCGGGTCAGGTCCAAAACCTCTGAAAACAATTTTTTTAAAATGAAGCCTCAAAATTCGTAGGAATTCAGTGTAATTATACAGAAATTGAACTAACTTGACTTGCGTTATTTCCATTGCTTTCAGTCCGTAGATTGTGGTATTGGAGTTGCGAATAACGATGTTAATTGGTGCGTTTGGGTTACGTGTTCGTAGTACAGCCTCTTTGTTCCACACGAACGGCTCCATTTTTGGAATTTTCAAATCGGGAATTTCTAATGGCATGCAAATTAAAATGCAAACAATACTGGTTGAGAAATGTGTTTTTATTGCATTTTTTGTGTGTGAATTCAATTCTTGTTAGTTTTCACTTCCTTACCATCGGCATGTCGGAATAATTGCGTGAGAGCTTGCGGGATGCATGTCTCATCGGCTGCTTTACACTGTTGAATATTCGAAGCTAAAAGTAAACAACAACCATATTTATTCAATGGAACTATTTTAGTTTTGCTTTTGCTTATTTGCGTGCAAATTACAGATCGATAAATTTCGAATTGCAATTTACGACAATGCTGTTAATTTATTTAAATCGCCGTTTACATAAATCATTTTAATGAGTTAATTATCATTTGCCGCGCTTGACACATCTCACACCGACCGAATCGATGCTTTTTTTTTCAAAGCATCGGTCGCATTCGTCAACGCTTGTTCAATATTGCGCAACTGCATCGTATTGCTCTTGCAATGAACTTGATGCATGAATACAATTAAGATCAACATTCCCAGCGCATACACCGTACGCTTCATTCGAATCTGTTGTTTTTTCTGATTTGCCGACTGCATAATTCTTGACTTATTCCATTTTGGATTTGGTTGATTCAAACGATGCATATTTCAAATACAGAATGAAAACAAAAACAAAACACAAAATGCTAAATATTCTATGAGAATATGAATCAGTATTCATTGTGACTTTATTAAATTCGTAAATCAATGTGACGAGTAGATAGGTGAAGGTGCGGCAATATTATGTGGAATGAATGTTTATCGAAATGCATCACTTTTGAATCGTTCAAAATATTCTTGAAAATATTTGTTTCCGTAACACGTATCACATTCAACTGTGTATCAATCGAACATGACATTCGTCACTTGTATTTTTCTTCTGTACAGTTCACTTAACACAGTCCAACGAAAACACGTTCACTAACTCGTCAGTAAAAATACCATCATGTCCATTTTGTACTTTTTGAAAATTCCAAAATGTCACAGCCTTTCAAATTGCTCGTTGCACATTTTCCACATCGATTGCATTTCCGTTTTACTCAATTTCAGTTTCACTTCACCGAACGAATACATAACAAAAATTCACCGGAGTAAACGTGTAAAAACTTACGCCATTGAAAACTAAATGCGGTGCCAATGAGACAAAAACTTGCCAAACAGACGTTCAAGAGTTGAGATTTCATGATGTTTTTTTTTATTACTTCGGTTTCTTTACTTTCAATCGAAAACGCCACAGAAAAAAAAAATATTGTTATGAAATATTTATGTGCCGCGATAAATTAAATTTAAAAGTTGAAGGGAAATCTATTGTGCAAAAATCACGAATGACTTGATACTGGAGTACGCCCGGCTATTTATATTGCTTTTCTCGCAGCTGAAACGGCATAACGAAAAAAATGTGCTTTGCAATAGAATAAGAAACAGAAATATATATAGCGAAAAACCTTAAAGCGCATAATAAAGCTCATTCAGCTGTGCGCGGAAAAGAGACACAGATCCATTTCATTGCAAACCTGAAACAGATACAACATCAAATCGTTTCATGTTTAGAACACATTTGCACGATGCAATGTTAGCTTGACTGTTTCTCACTTTTCTTTGTGCATTCGCTTTCGAATTTAATTAACCTGACCGAACAAAACTCATCATATATTCAAATCGTAAAATCTGTTCAAATCGTAAAATCTATTCAAATCGTAAAATCTGCTGAAAGATTCCGATGCTTATCATCGAACGCCTGAAATTAGAAATAAAATTGATGGCAGAGACAGAGGGCGAACAAATAACGTAAAATACGATATTCAACTTGAACTCAAGCACAATTATTGTAAATATCAAATAATTACTTGCGTCTTTTGATGCGGATTTTTGACGTGAATGGGTGAATCAATGGGCAAATTGTTAGCGATTTTCAATAGAATTTTTATGATAATTGGTTGTGACGCATATACCACAAAACAATTTTCTTTAATTTACTCAACGGAAATGCCATGCATCCACAACAATTATTCATTTGAATAACTCCCGGACAGAATGTTCACAGTATCAGTTGATTTTTGGGTAAAATTGCAAATGCAAAACCGCATTCCCCAACCTCAAGGTCAGCCGATAATCTTCAAAAGGAGTTTGAAGAGAGAGAGAGAGAAAAAAAATACTCACAATTAAATGATTCAAACAATCGAAGAAAAGAAAAAGCAACAACAAGAGAAGCAGTCGAAGCAAATTGTTCAACTGAAGGTAACCATATTCAATGGAAACAACCTATTTATCAGCTGAGTTGTTAACACACACTCTCCCTCTCTCATAAAAAAATCAACCTATTTTCATTATTATAAATCGCTTCGTCCATCTCATCGTTGCATTATTATATTTTGTGTGTTGCAACATGACACCTTGATCACTCTGCAACAGCATGCAAAATCAAAATTTCTGAATGAAAAGGTCGAATGCGTTGCACGGCACGAAAGATAGAACGAACTTCATAATTACGCAATTAGTGTAATTTGAACAGGGATTTTTCAAACACCAAGTTTGAGTGTGCACTGTGCACCTCAGTAATAACGATCTATCTCGAGCGCACAGCACACAAAGGCAAATACGCAATATGCCCGCCGACCCGATATTAATCTCCATGTCAATTATATACATCATACGAACTCAACGACTTTCTCAGAAGCTCAACTCACAAACATCATCAAAGCACATTTAATTACACAGCTAGTTTATCTACGAAAGCATTGCACACGCACATAGAGCACTCTTAACATGACGCATATCAATTTTGAGATTGAAAAAAAGTGTATGAGAGAAATTTTTACAGAGAAAGCTTATCCATTTCACAAAAAGTTCAAGTTCAAGCTCGCAATTAATAGGTCTTTTGACATAAGTGTCGCTTGTGGTGCATGTATATTCGTTTCATAACACTGAAATTACAGATACATTTATTCGCGGAAATCGTATCTATCAAAAGGATTTGCTGTTGATGCTATTGAATCCTCAGGAGAATTCGAATCAAATATTAAATTTGTGGAAATGGAGTGAAAGAACGAAAATGTGTTTTATGAATGAATCACATTTCGTTCAATCGAATTAAGCTGCATAGACGCGATTTAATTCCAAACATAGCATTGCTTTTATAATGTGCAATTCCACATTTTTGTTACTCATATTTTGAACATTCAAAAGCCAATCCAATATCCAAGAATTGGCATGACCTTGAAACGAATTGTAGTTGACAGCACGTGCGCTGCACGTCCGACTTCTAATATAGACTTTTCGTCGCAGCAGGCAATAAATCCGTGCACGAGCAAACACTTATTATTTTATTCAAGCGAAAGTTTAAAGCGTGCGAAATTTTATCCATTACTTGTGAATACTGTACGAAGAAAGAAGAATTCGTATCATGTAATCAACACGAGAAAATTGTAATAGACACATGTCAATTATTTGACAAATGTTGTGATGGGGGGCGTGTGATTTCTTTGCTTAGCAACAAGAATTCAATTCATACACAATATGGATTTGAATAGAACATTAAAACAGGACGTTCGTACTATACATCTTCAAACCATGGTTTTGATTGGAAAAAAAAGTGGAACATTTGTTACGTACCGTCATCCATATCTCGCTGGTAACAAGCGCCAAGCAAAAATCAGGGAGGAAATCATATGGAAAATTACATTTTTTCACAATCAACCGGAAACACAATTCCAAGAATCGTGGTTATTAGAGCGCGTTTTTTTCATTGTAAATTATTAAAACAAATTAAATGACGGTACTTTTTACACACAAAAAATACTCTGTCAATAGGCTCATTTAGGGTTTATAGCATAAAATATAAAATTTGCTCCGTGCCACAATTTTGAGGGGCCTTTTTTCGCTAGAATTTCAAGCAACCTTCAGATCATCTTTGTTTGCATTTTTCAATAAGCCGCATGACAAAGGCTCCGGAGATACGTACATTTTTTATCAGCAAATTACGAATGAAAATGGTGCGAACGGGGTTTTGTTCAAGAAATTCGTAATTATGTCTAGACCGATATTCCGAATTGAAAGTGAATCTTTTAAAAGAAAAGTGCGACTCACGCACGCACATCAATTTGTCGCATATCAATGTCATCAATATCTACATCGAACTTTGCACGGGAATATATTCATCATTCCATAGAAGCAACTTCCAACAGAAAAAAAAATCTTTGCATAAGAGACACATGGATGATATTCAAAGATGACATCAATCGATGGTATGAACAATTAATCTTGAATGTTTATTGCTAGGTTGTACCGTACACGGTGTACGCAGTCAGCAACTTGATAATACACATCTCTGCAACTCCAATGAAATCGAAAACACCAGACAGGATGAGAAAAAAACGCATAAATATGAAATCGATCGTAAAAGCTGGTGTACAATGTACATTGAATTGAAATAGAAGAAAAGTTTCGTCGTCACGGTGCTATATATTCAGGATTTTACGTTTAAGCTGATTAGGTTTTTTTCCGCACAGACAGAGAATAAAAAAAAAAAACAAAGACTCAACGAATCTGTGTGTACACGAGATAAATCCCTATAAGCCACGGAAATTTATTCGATGTATATTTTTTCACTTATTATTATCGCTGAAAGTAAAGTTTAAACTCACCATAATATGAGATCACTTCGACGAATGTGTGCGTTTATAATATTTTCCATGTGATTAGCCAAACGCGTCACATCGCGTTAATTGATTAAAAAAAAATCAAAAAATTATTTTTACTAATTTTTTTGTTGTTGGTTTGTAAAATTAAATTACTCAAATCCAACGAAACAATTGCGCTGCGACCTTCGTTGTGTTAAATACCCTTTTGCATTTCTACCATTAAAAGAGGATATATAATGGTTTTAAAACTAATAGAATTGTGTTTGGTTTTCCCTGTACTTTTGTTCTCGTTGCAGGTCCCGAGTGTTTGCAGCAAAGCTTGTACCAGTTGTCGTGATAGTTTTTTTCTCTCCTCATCTTCTTTCGCTCGTTTGTAAAGTGTTTTCGCTTGCTGCCATGCGTTAGGTAATCCACGATGCTGGCCAATTTTACTCCAATGTGCACGCTACATGAACGCTATTTTTTTGTATATTGTTTTTATCAAGTTACAATGGATAACATGTAATTAATTATTGTTGAAACGAAAAGCCAGAAACAGTAATCCAGCGATCCGGGCGTGCAGTGATAAAGTGAAATGAAAATGTGTGGTAATTTTTAGCTGCAGTATCATCAATTTGATGCACTCACGTAAAAACGACGAACATATCGAACAGCAGAAGAAAAAACGGGGGAAAGAGAAAGGGAGAAAATCGGAATACTACGCAGTTCGAATACACGAGTTGACTAACTAAAATATTGTAAAATCATTAATTATGGTGCATTTGATTGTTCGGCGATGTACCTAATCACTGTTTTCATGCCAATGAACATTAACCCATCGGTCCAATGTACTGCAATTCGACCGCAACACATCCAGTTTCGTTCAATGTCATGCGGCATCAAATTAAATTAGATTTATCGAGTTGAATTCAGTTTGCTAGATTCTGCATTATTAAAATCGCAACAGCTCGATAAAATGCGCATTGATCAAATTAACGATTTTTTGTTTTCGTCATGCGTTTTTGTTTTTCATTGATTTTCGTTGATTTTCGATGAAATTTCATTATTGCCATAATTTTATTATCTTGTTTAAAATTATTTGAATTTCATTCACGTTCGAACATTCCAGAGTGTTTTAATTGCTAATACCGAGTATTGGTTAAAGTTCACGACCATAACCGCTTCACCTCGGTAACACAACGCAACCACTTGAGAGTTAATTAAATATTTTACTGAATTGTCGTTCGGTTTCCGTGTCGTTCACATGGATCATTTGAGCCCATCGTCACCCGGTTCGGGTGGCACAACACCAAAGCGACGTGCTCGCTTGCAACGTTCTGAACGACTGCACAGTGATTCGCACACACCATATTCAAGTTGGGAAGCGTTGGTACGTGACAGTTTCGGTCACATTGCCTGGCCAATCAAAATCACATCATGGGAATTGCTTACGGACAACGCGGATGTGGTTCCAACCAGGTAAGACAACTTTTCTGATTTTATTCATCATTTGATTTGATTTCTCATTGCGCACTAAAACCCATTTAATGCAAAGCAAACTTGTATGCATTCACAACTTTAACTGAAAACACTAAATGCGTAGTTTGATAATAATAGAAGTTTCGGCATTTCTCGAATCTTTCGCATATATGTATAATCTGTTATGACCAATGAAGTGAGCAAGAATGGAATGAAGAAAGTTTCTGCCAATTTGGTTTTCAATGAAGCCATTTCA